CTACACGAGGACTTTGGGGACAGCCGCGACCTGCCGTGCCGCTTCCCAGCCTTGGTGGGATGAGTTCCCACCACATCCCCAACCCCAAGCACAGGAGCTTCACCTTCTGCCATCTTCTGGAGGTCCTTGAAGATGCGCAGGTGGTGGGCCAGGTCGGTGGCCAAGATGATGTCCCTCATGAGGTCCAGCATGCGCTGGTAGTCCTGCAGGGCCAGGCAAGGCAGCTGCCGTCAGCGGCTCCGTGCCCCTGCTGTTGAGGATGGCGATGGCTTGGGCGAAGTGATGCCTCTGCGGGAGAAGCCGGGGCGGTGGGAGCAGGCAGGGTGCAGGCAGGGATGCTGCCCCACAGCCGGAGCCCCGGAGCGGGCAGGGGGAGGATTTGGGGGGTGACCTTACCTCCATGACGGAGCCCTCCGAGCTGTACAGAGCAGCCAGGACCGATTTCTGCAAGGCAGAGCGGCCGGAGTGACGGAGCCGCGGGGGCGAAGACCCCGTGCCAAGCTCTGTCCCCGTCCCCGTCCCCGTCCCCCCCGCCCGCGCACGTCCCAGCGCCGGGCTCGGCTCACCGAGGCCACCTGGAAGGAGTTATTGGTGCCTCTGTGGTCCAGGTCGTGGCACATGCAGGAGATGAAGAGGGCAAAGATCTCGATGTCTCTGGGGGGGAGGGAGGAGGGAAACTGAGGCAGGAGGGAGGGCAGGGAGAGCCCTGGCCGGGCCAGGGGACAGCGACAGGGATGGGGACAGTCCCTGGCCTTACTCCAGGTAGTTGACAAGCTCCAGGTTCTTGTAGAGCAGGTAGCAGAAGTGGGAGACGGAGAAGGCGTGCATCCAGTTGTGGTAGGGGGGGTCGCGGTAGCCCTTCTTCACCATCAGACAGAACCTGGCGGGGGGGGGACAGGGCCATGAGGAGGGGGGGTCTTCACCCCCCAGGGACCCCCTGCTTGCCCAGGGGTCCCACAGGTGGGCATGGGGACGGGGACCGGGAGGGGGACCCACCTGGTGAGCGTCTGGCGGTCCATCTTGTAGTTGTTGATGAAGTTCATGTCCTGCAGCATGCTCAGGATGGCCTGCAGAGGGGACGGCGTGGGTGGCAGGGGGCGACAATGACCCGACCGAGGGCAGGCAGGGGACGGTGGCAGTTGGGGACTGTCCCCGTGGCCCTCACCATGGAGGTGTCATCCTCAGGCAGCGAGCGTGGCGTGTAGGTGAAGCTGGCGAAGTTGGGGTCGATGGTCGACACGGGCTGGATGCCCTCGCTCAGCAGCTTGGTGTACTCATCGTCCGACACCTGCGGGAGCCATCGCCGGTGGCCCGCGCTGTGACCGGGTCCCCAGGGTGTCCCCAAGCTGTCCCCTGGGCCACATCAGCCCCGGCAAGAGCAGAGAGCCCTGGGGTGTCACGGCCACCCGCCCCGTGCCACCACCTCGGGGCACCGCGCTGGCGGGGGGGTCCCAGCTCGTGTCCCCATCCCCATCCCCGTGCCACCTCACCTTCATGTGGTACATCATCATCTCGTTGGCCAGGTGGCTGCGGTACTGCGCCTCGTTCACCTTCTTGTACAGCAGCTAAACCCCCCAGCACCCCCCGGCCCACCCAGGACACCCTTGCTCCCCACGTGTGCCCTCCCCATCCCATTGCCACCACCGCTTGTCCCCATGGAACAGGGACCACACACACGTCCCCCCATCCCTGTCCCTCTGCGCTGTGGCCGGCTCTGGGGCAGAGCAGAGGGGTCCCCTTGCGCTCCCCCCCCCAGGTTGGGGACCCCCCTGGGCACGTACGTGGGCGATGCTGATGCCGCAGTAGATGGAGAAGGCGGTGGCCAGGTCCTCGTCGAACTTGCTGAACCAGGGGCCGTTGATCTTGTTGACCAGCTCTGCCACCCCGATGACCTCTGGGAGCAGGGGGGGGGACAGGGGGCAGGATCGTGCCCGTGTACTGGGGACAGGATTGTGCCCACATGCTGGGGACAGGATCGTGCCCGTGTGCTGGGGACAGGATCAGGCCCATGTACTGGGGACAGTGCTGTAACCATATGCTGGGGAACAGGATCGTGCCCTTGTACTGGGAACAGGATCGTGCCCGTGTACTGGGGACAGGATCGTGCCCACATGCTGGGAAACAGGATTGTGCTCGTGTGCTGGGGACAGGATCAGGCCCACATGCTGGGGACAGGATTGCACCCACATCTTGGGGACAGGATCATGCCCATGTGCTGGGGAACAGGATCATGCCTGTGTGCTGGGGACAGGATCAGGCCCACACGCTGGGGACAGGATCGTGCCCAAGTGCCGGAGGACAGGATTGTGCCCATGTGGCAGGGATGGGATTACGCACATGTTGGGGACAGTGCTGTGCCCACGTGCTGGGGACAGGATTGTGCCCATGTGCTGAGGACAGGATCATGCCCACGTGCTGGGGACAAGATCACATTCACATGCTGGGGACAGTGCTGTGCCCGTGTGCCAGGGACAGGATGGTGCCCACACGCTGGGGACAGGATCGTGCCCACATGCTGGGGACAGTGCTGTGCCCAGGTGCTGGGGACAGGATGGTGCCCACACGCTGGGGACACGGCCATGTCCACATGCTGGGGACAGGATGGTGCCCACAATCGTGCCCATGTGCCAGGGACAGGACCGTGCCCAGGCGCTGGGGCCAGCGCCGTGCCCTTGCGGGGTGCCAGCCCCGCGCCCACAGGCAGGGGGCCGGCGCGGTGCCCCCCACGCCGGTGGGGCCGTGCCCCCTCACCCTGGCTCTCGTTCTTGATGGGGAAGCAGAGGATGTTCCTGGTGCGGAAGCCGGTGCTGTCATCCACCCCGCGGTAGAAGAGCGGGTGGGAGTAGGCGTCCTTGATGTTGAGGATCTTGCCGGTGGTGGCCACGTGCCCGGCGATGCCCTGGTCCGCGGGGATGCGGATCTCGTAGCTCTGCGGGCACGGCGCGGGGGTCACCGGCACGGCCCGGGGTGGGACAGGACCCCAGGGCCCCCCCAAACTCCATCCCCTCGTCCCCACGCTCACCTCGTCGTCCACCACGCCGCCGTCAAACACCTTGGCCACCAGCTCGTGGCTGAGCCGGTCCAGCAGGAACACGGAGCATCTGCAAGAGACGCCGCGGCCGCTCGCACCCACGGGGGTCCCGGCGCCCACCCGCGCCCCCCGCCCACGCCAGGGCCCACTCACATCTCGGCGTTGCTGAGGTTTCGGGCCTCCGTGATGATCTCCTGGAGCAGCACAGAGACGTCGTCTGCGGGGAGGGGGGCAAGGGGTCAGGGAGCCCCCAGCCAGGCGGCGGCCGCCCGCCCCAGCTCCCCACTCGGGCGATGAAAGCAGGGGGTCTCAGCTCAGCCTGCGCCAAGGGTGGGCTGCGCCGGCACCCCCCCGCTGCGGGAGCACAGGGAAAGGCCAGGGAGCGCAGGGGGACGGGGTCTGCACGCAGCCTGTGCATGCATGCGTGCACGCTGAAGGGTGACGCAGCCCGTGCAAGTGTGGCGACAGCGTGTGCGATGCGGCGGCGTGCTCGCGTGTGGCGTGAACTGCAGGGGTGCAGGTGCGCAGCAGGGCGTGTGTTCCTGCAGCAGCGTGTGTGTGTGCGGCAGCGTGTGTTTGCCTGCAGCAGTGCAGGTTGGGCTGCAGCAGTGTGTGCATGCAGCAATGTGTGTGCGCCACAGTGTGTGTGTGTGCAGCAGCGTGCATGTGCGCATGCAGCAGTGTGCATGTGCAGCAGTGTGCGTGCATGCAGAAGGGTGTGTGTGCAGCAGTGTGCATGCGCAGCAGTGCATGCACATGCAGCAATGTGTGTGTGCAGCAGCGTACATGCGTGCAGCAATGTGTGTGTGTGCAGCAGCGTATGTGCATGCAGCAATGTATGTGCGTGCAGCAGTGCATGTGCAGCAGTGCGTGTGTGCATGCAGCAGTGTGTGTGTGCAGCAGCGCATGCTTGCATGCAGCAGTACGTACACGTGTACAGCAGTGCGCGCACAGCCGTGGGCACGTGTGCATCAGTATGTGTGCGTGCAGCTCTGCGTGGGCCTGCAGCAGTGCATGCATGCACCGCGTGTTTCTAAGCGCACGCCGCGCTCTCTGCTCACGCCACGTGCGTGCGTGCAGCCCTGCAGCACCCGTGCAAGCAAGGCTCCACGCGGGCTCGTGGCCGCCCTCCTGCCACCACCCTCCAGCAGGGCCAGGGCTGGCAGCGCAGGGGACAAGGTCCCCGCAGGCTGGGGACAGGGGACCCCGATGCCACCGTCCCCCACCCATGGCATGGGTGCTCCCTGCAGCGTGCACCTACCCAAATGCGTGAAGAGGTTCTTCGCCACCTGCAGCAGGGCCTGGCGGGGACAGAGGGGACGCCATCAGGAACCGGCGGGACACGCAGACGCGTGTGCCCGGCGTGACACGGCCCCGCGGGCGCTCACCTGGCACTCGCACTTCAGCTTCTGCTCCTTCTGGAAGGCCAAGGTGCTGGTGAGCACCGTGGAGGTGTAGCAGAAGCAGTGCTGGATCTTGTGCTCGTCCGCCTCTGTGTAGCTGGGGGGGCCAGACCCCATGGCGGGGGGGACACCTCAGTCCCCTGTCCCCACTGGTCCCTACGCCACGCTTGTCCCCTCACTTCCTCCATGGTGACAATGGTCCACTACCCCCAAAGATGGATGCTCCACCACCCCCAAAGATGATGCTCCACGCCCAAAGATGATGCTCCACCACCCCCAAAGATGATGCCCCACGCCCAAAGATGATGCTCCACCCCCAAAGATGGATGCTCCACCACCCCCAAAGATGGATGCTCCACCACCCCCAAAGATGATGCTCCACCACCCACAAAGATGGATGCTCCACCACCAAAGATGGATGATGCTCCACCACCCCCAAAGATGGATGCTCCACCACCCGCAAAGATGATGCTCCACCAGCTCCAGCTCAGGGCAGAGGCAATGGGGCGAGGGCCGGATCCTGCCCCGCTGCTCACCTCTCCCTGCTCAGCTTGTTGAAGGCGCAGGCCAATGCCACCACCTGGGAGGTGGCCCGGCTGATGACGGGGACGCAGAGCATGGAGGTGACCTCGCAGCCCAACATGCTGCTCAGCTGCTTGTGTTCCTCCTGCGGGGAGGAGGCGAGATGGGGCCGGTATTGTCACCTCCAACCCCTCCCCGGGAAGCCCCAGGGGACACCGCGGGGGACACCATGTCCCCAGGGGCAGGAGGGGACACACAGTCCCCAGCCAAGGCAGGAGAGCTGGCACCCACCTCGCTGATGTCCTTCAAGGTGATGGACTTCTTGTCCTCCACCACCTGCCCCAGGCGCCCGAAGGTGAGCTGTGGGTGGAGGGGACGGGTGAGCCCATGGTGCCCCGCTGTCC